TCTCGCTCTGTTGCCCAGGCTGGAGTGCAATGGTGTAATCTCGGCTCACTGCAACCTCCACCTGCTGGGTCCAAGTGATTGTCCTGGCTCAGCCTCCTGAATAGGTGGGATTACAGGCATGCACCACCACGCCTGGCTAATTTTTGTATTTTTAGTACAGGCGTGGCATCATGTTGGCCAGGCTGGTCTCGAACTCCCAACCTCAAATGATCCACCCACCTTGGCCTCTCAAAGTGCTGGGATTACAGGCATGAGCCACTGTGCCCAGCCCAACCTGCTTTTAGCAGCTGAACACAGCCCTGCCTTGGGAAGTTAATGGCCTTGGAAGAATTTTCCTCCTTCCAAGCAGGGAAGGGAGGAGAGATAGGGCTAACAGCTTACTCTCTTCAGAGTTTCCTGGGGAAGGGGACACCTATACAGTGGCACGGCCCTGCCGAAGGTCAAGATGCTGTAGTGTTATGGTTTAAAGGTAGGTGCGAGGTCTGGGGTCCTCGGCACTAAAAGAACTAATCTCTCCTTCCCCTGCTGCTGTCCAGGTTCATGGATAGTCATGCTTGGTCTTGTCTTACTGTTCTTTCTGGTGTCAGCCACAGCCTTGCTTCCCTAGGCACTCCTGGCCTTTGTTTTCCTCCCTCGATGAATACCTCTGGACTCTCCCTAGCTGTCCTGTACAACCTGCCCTGCACCTCTGGGCAGTCCTGGGGTCTCCTGGACCTCTCCTTCCCAGCCTCCTGCAAGATGCTGAAGGACTTGCTGCTGGCTGCACTGGCCTTCACTAGTGTCACTCTGTTGCTGCTCCTGTGACCCTGAGGAAGGCACTCGAGGTCTTCCAGCCATCCTGCCCTCTCTGCAGCTTAAGAGGTACTCTTTTGGTGGCCTCCTGCCAGCCTGGAGGCCCACAGATGGGACTGGTGACTTGGACAACAGAGAGACTCTCTTCTGAGGAGGAAATTGATATGGAATCTCGGCCTATTTTTGGAGGAAGACCTGGAGGCAGTGGCCCCTTCAGAAGACAACGAAAAAATAATCCTTTTTTATATTTATTTTATATATATATTTGAGACACAGTCTCTGTTGCCCAGGCTGGAGTGCAGTGGTGTGATTTCGGCTCACTGCAACCTCCACTTCCCAGGTTCAAGCGATTCTCCTGCCTCAGCCTCCTAGGTAGCTGGGATTACGGGCATGCACCACCACGCCCAGCTAATCTTTATATTTTTGTAAAGACAGGGTTTCACCATGTTGGCCAGGCTGGTCTTGAACTTCTGACGTCAAGTGGTCTGCCTGCCTCAGCCTCCCAAAGTGCTGGGGTTACAGGCGCGAGCCACTGCACCTGGCCTGTGTTGCCTTAACCTTCTGTGGCACCTGTGCTTTTTAGCACTAGTTGTTGGGGGGAAAACCTGATGTCTGAACTGCATGACATGCATTTGGGCTCTCTGGAGGGGCCAATGTGGTGGTGGGTTCTCGGGGAAGGAGTAAGAGGCAGGGGCTGGGGCCTCATTAGCACCAGCATACTGTTGCCCACGGGTGTCCCTGGCCTGAGGTCTACACAGTTGGGAGCCTCGCCTTTTGGCCTCAGCTGAAATTTGACCCCTCTATGGGAAATGACCTGTGGCCCCCATCTTTAGCTTCCCAAGAGCAGTGAGACTTTTCCTTCCCTGGCTCTGCCTCGGCATTTCTGGGCTGTTGGAACAGGAACTCCTAAATTAACGTTCCTTCTCACACAGCAGGGGGCCCTCAGGCCTTGGTCTTCCTGCCCCTATGCTGCTAGCTTATCACTTCTGGAATGAGGGGGCTATGTTAGTCCATTTTGTGTTGCTATAAAGGAATATTGGGCCAGGTAAGGTGGCTCACGCTTGTAATCCCAGCACTTTGGGAGGCCGAGGTGTGTGGATCACCTGAAACCAGGAGTTCAAGACCACCCTGACCAACACGATGAAACTCCATCTCTACTAAAAACACAAAAATTAAACAGGTGTGGTGGCAGACACATGTATTCCCTGCTACTTGGGAGGTTGAGGTGGGAGAATCACTTTAACCCAGGAGGCGGAGGTTGCAGTGAGCCAAGATCGCACCGCAGCACTCCAGGCTGGGCAACAGAGTGAGACCCTGTCTCAAAAAAAGGAATATTGGAGGCTGGGTAATTTACAAGGAAAAGAGGTTTATTTGGCTCATTGTTCTGCAGGATGTACAGAAAGCATGGCGCCGGCATCTGCTCAGCTTCTGGTGAGGGCTTCAGGAAGCTTTTACTCATGGCAGAAGAGGAAGGGGAGCCAGCGTGTCACATGGTGAGAGAAAGGGAGCAAGAAGAGGGGAGGGGTGCCAGGCTCTTTTAAGCAACTATAGAGTGAGAACTCACTCATTATGGCAGGGCAGGCACCAAGCCATGCATGAAGGATCTACCCCCATGACCCAAACACCTCCCACTAGGTCCCACCTCTAACATCAGGGGCCGCATTTCCTCCTGAGATTTGGAGGAGACAAATATCCAAGCTCTGCTAGTGGCCATTGACCAAAGCTACAAAGTGGGTCTCTTTCCTTCCCCAGTACTGCGTCCTGGAGATTCAGGACTGGAGGTCAGCATCTAGACCCTGAGTAAGACTGGAGGCTGGAGCTTGGGAAGGCTGCCTCTTACTGGCTGTGGGCACACAGTGGGAGCTGGCTTGTCGGGGTGGGCATCAGCGGATGCTGAGAGGCACTTTGCAGATCTCAGCTCTGGCCCTGGCCTTAGGTTCTTTGAACTGCCCCACCTCCTGGTGCAAGTCTCTGGGCTCAGCTGCCACAGAGGAGCTCTGGCAACAGCATAGCTCATCTTAGTCCCAAGGGCACAAAGGGTCCACGCTCTCCACCTCAGACCCTGCTTCAACATCGGGGCCTTTCCTTTGGTGGAGAAGGGTGAGACCATCCTGTTCCCCGACCCTGCATCACCCACACTAAGCCATCCTCTCCCAAGGATTCCATGACATCCTTGGCCCAAATTGTGGGTGCTACCACCGTCTTCCAAGAGGGTGAACCCATCCCTCTCTTTCCATCCTCCTCCCTTTCCTCTCTCTTCCCTCCATCATTGCTCATTGTAGGATTGTCTGATAAAATATAAGATGCTCAGGTCAATTTTAATTTTAGATAAACAATGGATACATTTTAAGTATGTTCCAATTTTTTTTTTTTAGAGGAGTCTCGCTCTGTTGCCCAGGCTGGAGTGCAGTGGTGTGATCTTGGCTCACTGCAATCGCCGCCTCCTGAATTCAAGAGATTCTCATGCCTCAGCCTTCTGAGGAGCTGAGATTACAGGTGTGCACTACCTCCCCAGGCTAAATTTTGTATTTTTAGTAGAGACGGGGTTTCACCATGTTGGCCAGGCTGGTCTTGAACTCCTGACATCAAGTGATCCGCCTGCCTTGGCTTCCTAAAGTGTTAGGATTATAGGCATGAGCCACTGCACCCAGCCATGCTTTTTTTTTTTCCTTTCTAAATCTGACAACCCTCATTTTCTCTTCTCTTCCTTCCTTTTTCCTTTCCCCTTCCTCCTCCCTCCTCCTTCCCTGCCAGCTTAGGAAGAAGGCAGTCTTGTTCCGTTCTGACGAATTGTTATGGAAGAGTGGGTGAAGAGGTGACGGGGTGAGGGGCAGCCTCAGCGTCAGGCCTATTTCTGCTACCTGTGGGGCTGAAGGTACAAGGCCAGTGCCTTTGGGAGCTCAGTTTCCCATCTATAAAGCAGATATCAGATTTTGCATCCACAGGTGCATGTGGGAAAGTGCTTGCTGCTGCTGAATATTTTCTTGACCAGCCTGAATCAGACCTCATAGCCTGCCCACGGATGAGCTCAGCCCTCCGTCCATTTGTTTCCAAGGAACCTCTCATGGCACCAGCCTTTGGTTCCCATTCATCCCCATTCCCTGGTGTGATCTGGCTCCCCCTGGCAAGAGTTGTGTCAGGGGTTGGGGCTCAAGCCAGCCTCTTCATGTCCCTGAATCACAGCAGAAAGCTGGGAAGGAAACTCTGGGCTCCTGGCCTTTCCCCTAGTCACCCAGGGTCATGGCGAGTGTCAGGGCGTCGTGCTTCACAGATGCCATGTGAGCAGCGGACAGGATGCTGGGCTGAGGAGCACAAGCCCTGCCCCACTCTGCTGTGAGTTTCCTTGGACAAGCTGCTTAAGCATTGTGGGTCTCCATGGCCTATCACCTCCTCTACCCACAAACAGGGACTGGAAAGGGTGACATGCACAGGACACTTCTACTGGAAGGTCTAGAACGAATAAGTCATGCCTTCTTACTGCCTTTGTAAAAGTGCAATCTTAGGAGGTGATATTCTTACTATGTTACTTTTTTTTTTTTTTTTTTTGATAGAGACGTGGTCTTGCTATGTTGCCCAGGCTCGTCTAAAACTCCTGGGCTCAAGCGATCCTCCCATCTCAGCCTCCCCAAGGGCTGGGATTATGGGCAGGAGGCGGTATTATGAGGTAATTGAGGGCAATGTCATTGAAGTAAAAAAAACAAAAACAGGCCAGGCATGGTGGCTGAGGCCTGTTATCCCAACACTTTGGGAGGCTGAGGGGAGCAAATTGCTTGAGGCCAGGAGCTTGAGACAACATGGGGAAACCCCATCTCTGCAAAAAATACAAAAAGATTAGCCAAGTGTGGTGATGCCCACCTGTAGTCCCAGCTACTCAGGAGGCTGAGGTGGGAGAATGGCTTGAGCCCAAGAAGTCAAGACTACAGTGAGCCATGATTGTACCACTGCACTCCAGCCTCGGTGGGCGACAGAGCGAGACCCTGTCTCAAAAAACAAACAAACAAATGAATGAATAAACAAACAAACGAACACCCCCTGCCCCAGGTCCTGGATCTGCCACCCAAGCTGTAAGATGTTGAGTGAGTGGCTTCACCCCTCTGAGCCTCAGTTTCCTTATCCATAAAGTGCCTTGGGGATGGCATGAGAATAAAACATGCTAAACTCACAAAGCTCTTGGCACAGTTTCTGGTACACAGAGAGCACTCACCAAATGATCGTTGTTGTTTCCTTTATTATGATTATGCCAGATGTGACTATCTTTGCTTCCAGGAAAGCCTCTAAATCATAAGCTATGTGCAACAAGGGAAGTGGGTAAGGGTGGGAAGCTGAGTGTGCAAGTCACACAAAGCCTGATGTAGGCAACTCCTATCAGAGGTATGTGGCCTTTGTGGCTGGGGCCCTCAAAAAACAGTCACTGCCAGAAATCTGGAGACTGAATTGTCTGGGTCTCCAGAAGAGAGTCCAACCCCACCACACCTCTGCTCCTGTCCAAGGTGCTGAAATCCACCCCACATAAGCTCCTCCTAGTCATGTACAGCCGTTGAGTCGCCTGCACCCTACCTTGTGGTCCTCCGTTCAATGCCACAAATATACAGTGAGCATCTACTATATATAGCGAGTGGAAATAAAAAGATTTAGATATGTCTCCAACCCAAGTTGCTCACAGCCATATGGAAGGAATTAAAGCATACACACTTGCCTTAGGGTAGGTGAGGACAAAGGCTAGGGGATTCATTTTGCTATTTATTGAGTTTCAGTGACACCCACTTCTTGTCTTTACCCTTGTTTTTTCCTCTTCTGAAACATTGGTACCCTCCAAGGTTGTGCCTCTCATACCTTTCTTGATCTGACCACAGCAGATGAATTTTCCCCCGGGCATCTCTTTGTGTTCTCACTAACATCATAGAGTCAGGAGGACTAACAATCAATTTCAGGGAGGGAGGGAGTGTAGGATATAGAGAGGAATCAGGTTAGGAGGTCTCTGAGAAGAGAGGGAGCCACCTAGACAGGGGTGAGCTCCTTATCATATTTCTGCATGCCCTCGTCAGGGAGCAGGACCTCCACCGTGAAGCTGACCTTCTTGGCGTGCACAAAGCTATAGGTGTTGTCGAAGCGTAGGACATCTGGGGGACAGATGGAAAGATGGGCATTGGGCTTGGCTTTACACACTCTTTGTTCCACCCCCGGTCAGGGAGGAGGACAGGCTTGTGTTCCCACTGGCTTTCTTTGCCAAGCTGGGCCAAGCTCCCACCACGCCTCTTCCCTTCCCCATGGGAACGGCCACCCCAAGCAGGTCCTGTAAACAGACACCAACCTCCTCTTGGCGTGTGCCCAGGCCTGGCTTTACTGGCATGGAGAACAATAGTCATTACATCCCATTGTCTCATACCTGGAGACACACATGACAGGGGTGTGAAAGCTCATGCTTGCGTTCATCAGAGACCTCCCAGCTCCCTTGGATTAAGTGGGGTTCTGGAGCAGGCCTGCTGGACACTGTTTGCTTCCTCACAACCACCCCAAAAAGCAGGTGTTGGCTGGGCACGGTGGCTCACGCCTATAATCCCAGCACTTTGGGAGGCCGAGGTGGGTGGATCACTTGAGGTCAGGAGTTTGAGAGCAGCCTGACCAGTGTGGAGAAACCCCATCTCTACTAAAAATACAAAATTAAGTGTGGTGGCGCATGCCTGTAATCTCAGCTACTCGGGAGGCTGAGGCAGGAGAATCGCTTGAACCTGGGAGGTGGGGGTTGCGGTGAGCTGAGATTGCACCATTGCTTACACCATTGCACTCCAGCCTGGGCAACAAGAGTGAAACTCTGTCTCAAAAAAAAAAAAAAAAAAAAAAAAAAAAAAAGAAAGAAAAAGAAAAAGCAGGCATTATAACTCCTGGCTCACAGGTGAGCAAACCAAGGGTCCTTCCCAGATTGGTCAGACTTTTGCCCAGGACTATGCAGCTACCTGGAGGCTGGGGCGGGACCCTGGAACCACACAGCTTTGCAGCTCCACAAGTTGATTTATTTTTCAGAGCCTCGGTTTCCTCATGTGGAAAACTACTCTATCACTTGTTGTCTGTATTCTGCAGTCCAGGTGCCCCCAAGCCCTGCAGGGCCTGTGTGTCTCTGGCTCCTGGTGCACAGTAGGTGCTCACGAATATGGACTGAGTGAGCAACTGTATGAATGAATGGTGCTAACCCAGGATGTGTGTCCCTGAATGGGGGAGGGGTGTCACTGCCCCTCTGTTTCCTTCTCTAAAGCATGGGACAGGTGGCTCTAGCCTTTCAGAGCCAGGTCCCAACTGGGGCAGACTTACAGACACCGGCCTCTGAGCAGGTGAGGCTCCCATCCTCAGGCACCATGTGGGCGTTGTAGCGCTGGCTGGGTAGAACCTCTGTCATCTCCCCTGCCCGCTGTCGCTCCCCCATCTTGGTCTTCAGGAAAACTCCGAAGCCGATGTCCGCACCGTCAGATGAGAACTGCCACCTGTCAGGGGGAGGGGGAGGAGGAAGGTTGCTGCCCAGCCTGATGGGTCTCTGAGGGGTTAGGGCCTGTCCCTACCTGAGGACACAGCCTGGAAACAGGATCTCGTATTCCACTTGGTGTGACGAACCGCGGTTGATTTGCACCGAGTGCTCGTACTGAGTCTTCACCTGGTCCCGCACGTACATGGACTTGGGGATCTCCCCGCCATAGTTGATCTGCGGACGTGGGATGAGATGGGCTTGCTCCCCTCTCCTGGCCATTGTTCATGTTTCTCCTGCCTGAGACACTTTCACCACCTCCTGGAAGTATCCTCTTCATCCTAGCCCCACTCTCCCACTCCCTCAAGTCTTCTTTGACCATCCAAGCTGGGTCAGTGCTTCTGCTGGGAGCGTCTCCTTCCAGCTCATCCCTCTGGGTTAAAATTCTCCCATTTCTTGTTTGCCTTTACAGCTGCTGAGAGCTCTGTAAGGGCCAGGGTTGTATTGACTAGCTTAACACCCAGTTCTTGGGGTCTCTCTATAGGTAATTGTGGATGAATGACTGGGTGGAAAGGGAACCCAACTTAGTTCTTGAACCTTTCTTGTCCCAGGAAGAGCTCTTTGTACCTTGGTTAAACATTTGGGGTTTCCATCTGGGTCAGTCAGGGTGCCCCCAAACTGGGCAGGCAGTTCCTCAGGACTGATGAGTTTCAGCAAACCTTCCTTCCAGTTATCTGGGAGCAGTGGGATGCAAGGGAGGTTAGCAAGCATGGAGGGGACCAATTGGCCTCCCACATCCACCAGGATGACCTGAACTGGAGGAGAAGCCCTATAGGAGGTAGGCTGCCAGGGCCAATTCCCCAGTGTCCTAGGCCTGGGGCTATAGGAAGTGTCTTTCTCAGCACTGCATTGCTGTGGAAATGTGTTTCCCACCTTGATAGATGAATCAGCACTTTTTATGTCTCTTTGAGACAGTGTCTCACGCTGTTGTCCCAGCTGGAGTGCAGTGGCATGATCATAGCTCACTGCAACCTTGACCTCCTGGGCTCAAGTGATCCTCCCACCTCAGCCTCGCGAGTAGCTGGGACTACAGGCATGTACCACCATGCCTGGCTAATTTTTGTTTTGTTTCGTTTTTTGTTTTTTTTTTTTTTTAATAGAGATAGGGTTTCACCATGTTGCCCAAGCTAGTCTCAAACTCCTGGCTTCAAATGATTATCCACCTGGGCCTTCCAAAGTGTTGGGATTACAGTTGTGAGCCATCATGCCCAGCCTACAGCATATATATATATATATATATATATATTTTTTTTTTTTTTTAATTTTTAATTTTTTATTTTTTGAGACAGAGTCTTGCTCTGTTGCCCAGACTGGAGTGCAGTGGTGCGATCTCAGCTCACTGCAACCTCCGCGTCACAGGTTGAAGCAATTCTCTACCTCAGCCTCCTGAGTAGCTGGGATTACAGGTGCCCACTACCACACCTGACTAACTTTTATATTTTTAGTAGAGACGGGGTTTCACCATCTTGGCCAGGCTGGTCTTAAACTCCTGACCTTGTGATCCACCTACCTCGGCCTCTCAAAGTGCTGGGATTACAGGCATGAGCCACCACGCTCAGCCAACAGCACATTCTTGAAGATCTTCCAGTCATGAGCAGTGAAGCTAAGAGTTATCTAATTGCCTCAAGGAGACTTTAGAGCTCAATGACATCAATGGCTTTATTGGGATCACTCTGTGAGTAAGTGGCGTGCCCAAGTCAGACCTCCTAGTGGGGGATGGACAGCCTTGGGCCTTTGGAGGGACCCTCCACACCTCCCTCTGCCTAATCACCATGACCATGTTTATTACTGTTCTTCATGCCCTATGCAAAGCTCTAAGAGTTCTGGGTCCTGGCTGTTACTATGCCCCAGCCTTGTGGCTAATCCAGGCTACCCAGTTCCCCAACCGCCTCACTTTGGCCATGGGAGATTCCTTCTCTACAGTGGGATTAAGGGGAAGACCACAATGTCCCACATACCAGGGCCAAATGAGCAGAGTTGCATGGGGCAGAGGCTGTGGACTTAAGGCCTGGACTATGCTGGTAACCCACGCTGCGCTAGGCTTTGGAAGGCTTAGAAGTCATGAACCTGGATCCTTCAAACCAGGCCCTCATAATCTATCAAGTTCCCCATCTCAGTGGAATTGGGTAGAGGCAGAGGCTCGGGTACCAGGAAGAAAGAGAAAGTAAGGATTTACAAGCTCCCCCTCACCCCTGGATCTTCAGTTCTCCTAATTCTGTGATCTGACTATCCTGCTTGGGAGAAGTTTTCCTCCAAGCCAGGGTTGTTGATTTGGGTTTAAGAACTATTTCCCTTTTCTCTCTTTCTCTCAACCTGTCACTTGTAAACATAACTATTTTCCTATTTATAAAATTAATACATATTATTATGCAGTTTAGAAATCATAGACAATACAGGTAATACAATTAAAAACCACATAATTTCTCACTATCAACAAATAAATATTTTGTTGTTTACTAGAAATAAATATTTATTGTACATATATTTGTTTCCATAAAAATAAGATTATATTTTTAGTTTAATCTTATTTTAGCTTATGCTTATGAAGATATGTTTATAATCTACTTTTAAAAACTTAATGACATTTCCATGGCATTAAATATTTACACATAGCATTATTTTTCATGACTGCTCCGGAATTCATCAAATGCATGCACCATTATTTATTTATCCAGTCTTTTCTTGTTGGACTTCCTTTCTCTGAATTGTGACTACTCTTTCTGCTTGTCTGCCTCATCCTCTTCAGCTGAGGTTGCCTTTAGAAGCACTAAGCTTATGAATGTTGAAAAGAAACCGAGACTTATATACCAGAAATTGACTAGCAACCAAACTGAAACCAATGAGGTGGTAGGTGTGGAGGCCTTGTCCACCAAAGGGGTATGGCAGGGAAAAGAGCAAAGGTAGCAGACTCTTTAGGGTAAAACCCACTTCACTGTTGGGAAGAAGGAACCTCTGACTAGGTGATGTGTAGAGTCTGTTGTTTTGAGATAGGGTCTCACTCTGTTGCCCAGGCTGGAGTGCAGTGGTGTGAACATGACTCACTGCAGCTTCAAACTCCTGGGCTCAAGTGATCCTCCTGCCTCAGCCTCCTGAGTAGCTGGAATTACAGGTGCGCACCACCACACCCAGCGAATTTTAAAATTTTTTGTAGAGATGGGGTCTTGCTATGTTGCTGTGGCTGGTCTCAACCTTCTGATCTCAAGCAATCCTCCTGCCTCAGCCTCCCAAAGTGCTGGGATTATAGATGTGAGGCACTGCACCCAACCTAATGTGTGGAGTTCTAGATGGGGTAATGGGACAACCTCACTCCAAAGGTCATGTAGAGAGGTCAGGAAATTGAGCTGAAATTGAGTTGTGTTACTTACTTCCCAACACAATAATTTTCCTGCGAGTGTCCTCACTAAGGAATGGTTTCATGAGGTTGTAGCCCACAGGGAACAGTTTGGTAGCTGGAGAGATAGAAGTAAGGATAATGGGAAGGAAAGAATTACATTGAGCAATCCCCTCCGTAACGGTTATAGCCAATGATACAGAGGAGTCATGACTAACCCTGGTCAATTCCAGTGTCTGTCCTGCACCGAGTGAACCATCCAACCAACCAGTCAACCAGCCAACAAACAGCCAACGAACCAATCATGCAATGCAATAATCAACCACCCATTCAGTCAACAAACCAGCCAAACATTCAAGCTGCTAATCAGCCACCTATTCAGTCAACCAATAAACAAGCCAACCTACCACATAATCAGCCACCTAACAAATCAGCCAAACAGCAAAGCAATCAGCCAATGGAACAGCCAGATAACCACTCAACTAACTGTGTTCTCTAGCCAGCCAGTCATCCAAATAACCAGTCAGCCAACCGTCCAAATAACCAGCTAGCCAGTCATCCAAACAACTAGACAGCCGACTCTCCAAATAACCAGCCAGCCACCATCCAAATAACCATCTAAGATTCAGCCAAACAACAAACCAGGCAACCAGCGAACCAACCTGCCAACCAGCCATCAAAACAACCTGCCAACCAAAATGCCAACCAGCCACCCAATCAGTCAACCAAGCTAAGAACTAGCCAACCAAGCAGCCAGCCAATTCTCCAACCAACCACCAGTCAGTCAACTAGCCAAGCAACCAACTGGCCAGTCAACTGAACAACCAATCAAGCAATCAACGGATCAACCAACCAGCCAATCACCAAACATCCATCCATCTTTTCATCTACCCACCAACCCAAACAACAATCACCCAAATACCTGTGCAGCATCCACCATGGACCCAGGCCTGTGAGGGCTACAACAAAAGTGGAGAATCACAGCCCCTGCCTTCAAGGAGCAGAAAACTCAGCCAGTAAAGCAGGATGAGCACAAATAAAACAGCTGGAGATCCCTAAAAGGCAGCAAACAGGAAAGGCGGCACCAGTTGCCAAGAGATCATCATGGACAGGAGAAATAAGGGAGGATCCCTGGGAGAGCTGGGACTGGAGTTGCCTTCTCTTGCAGTAAGGCCAACCCTAGAAGTTACCACTTATTGAGAACTTACTCTATACCAGGCATTCTAAGCGATCTGCATACAGCCAAGAAACCAACCTGCCTCTCAACAATCCTGGGACAAAGACAATGTTATCATCCTCAGCGTACAGAGGAGGAAACAGAGGCACAAGTGAAGTCATTTGTCACACACCTTTCACAATGAGCATGAACTTCAGGGTCTCTGGGTAATTCTCTTCAAGGAGGCCAAAGAACTGTGGAAGCAAGAGAGATCCCTTCAGAGAGCACATCACGTCTTCTCCTACCTCCATCTCCTTTGCAATCTCCTGTTGGGAAGTTTCAGATGGCTCTGGAGGGTTTTCCTTCATGCCATCACCTCCACTGGCCTCTGGAGGGAACTTTCTCACCTCAAACTATTATAACCATACTCTAATGATAATTACGTAATAATCGTTTTTAGTAAATATTATAATAATTGCAGTATAATAATAATGACTACTATTTATTAAATGTTCACTATTTGCCAAGGAGTGTATATACACTTTACATAACAACTTGCTGAAGTATCCCTACATTGCTATCCCCATTTTGTAGGTGAGGAAACCAGCATGGAGAGGGTTTGGTGGAAGCTGGCGCGTGTGGTCTCAGCACAGTGCTGTCCCTGAAACCCATTCTGTGGGATCTTCTAGGAAACATATTAAGGCCTTTTGGGGTTTGAGTCACAATGAGGGAGGCCGGGACATTTTTAAAACTAAATCTTGGCTCTCAGACCTAAAGGACAGATAGGAGAAAGTCAGGGGAAGTTGTGGGAGGTAGGTGTGTGTGGTGGGAACCAGGGTTGTTCAGACAGAAGGAATAGCAAGGGCAAAGAAAGGCTCAGAGGGAATGGCAATAGCTACCATTGTTGAGAAATATGTATTAGGCCCTGTGTGCTAAACTGCATACTTGCATTATCTCATTTCGCTTTTGCAACCATTATTTATTAATATCCTTGTTTTATAGGTGAGCAGCTGGGTCATGGCAGGCCAAGCTGGTCATCAAAGCAAGTGGTGGGTGGCCCTGGGCCTTCTCCTCACCTCCTGGTACACTTCTACCAGAGGTTTCCAGAAGTGTTTCAGTCCCAGGCCCTCACAGTCAAATATCATCACGATGGTCTCAATCTTCTTCCCTAGCTGCAAGGATGAGAGCAAGAAGTAGTTCTGGGGTTCAGGGTGTTGGCTTGGGAGGTGGTAACCCAAGTACATGACACCTTGGGGCTTCTTCTAGCCCCGACTCTGTCCTCAGAGGAACAAGTGGACAAACCAGTGAATGCATTTCCCCACTCATCCGTCCATCCATCCATCCACCCATCCATCCATCCGTCCATCTGTCCGTCCATCCGTCCGTCCGTCTGTCCGTCCGGACATCCATCCATCCGTCCATCAATCCATCCACCCACCCACCCACGTACCCACCCCCTTATATGTCAATTTACCCATCAATTAATTGACCCATCCATCAATTCATATTGTCATTAATTTATTCATCCTTCATTATTCCAGCTGATATTTATCAAGCACTTTTTTTGTGTGTGCCAGACACTGAAAGTGTAATGAATAATGCCTAATAACCCACAGTTCTTGTCCTTAAAAAGTTCACTGGCTGGCTGGGGAGATGACAAGCAACCAGGTCATTTGGATCCTATGAAAAGTGCTGCGATAGGTCAGCACAAGGGCTGCAGGGATACAGAATGGTTATTTAACCCAGGTGGAGGACTCACAGAAGGTGACATCTACGTTTCAGACCTAAAGGACAGATAGGAGAAAGTCAGGGGAAGTTGTGGGAGGTAGGTGTGTGTGGTGGGAACCAGGGTTGTTCAGACAGAAGGAATAGCAAGGGCAAAGAAAGGCTCAGAGGGAATGGCAATAGCTACCATTGTTGAGAAATATGTATTAGGCCCTGTGTGCCAAACTGCATACTTGCATTATCTCATTTCGCTTTTGCAACCATTATTTATTAATATCCCTGTTTTATAGGTGAAGGAGCTGAGGCTCAGACAGGTGACATATTCAAAACACTAAAAAAACAAAACAAAACAAAAAAAACCCATCAACCAAGAATTCTATTCCAGGCCCAGTACAGTGGCTCATGCCTGTAATTCCAGCACTCTGGGAGGCCAAGGCGGGTAGATCACAAGGTCAGAAGATCGAGACCATCCTGGCCAATATGGTGAAACCCCGTGTCTATTAAAAATACAAAAATTAGCCAGGCATGGTGGTGTGCGCCTATAATCCCAGCTACTCAGGAGGCTGAGGCAGGAAAATCGCTTGAACCTGAGAGGCGGAGGTTTCAGTGAGCCAAGATCACACCAATGCACTCCAGCCTGGGCGACAGAGCAAGACCCTGTCTCAAGAAAAAAAAAAAAAAAGAGTTCTATTCCCAGCAAAAGTATCCTTCAAGACACTGTCTTTCTGTGACTGTGACTTTTCAAGGCCACACAGCTGGTAAGCAACAGAGCTGGTGTTTGACCCCAGAGCCCTCTGACTGCGGTTGTAGAGAACACAGGTGTGTTTCTATGACCAATCCCCCTGGCAGCCTCACCTGCCCCCAGCCATCTGCCCCACCTGGCCTGGGCCTCACCCTCTCTGTCTGCAGGTCACACTCATGCAGGATGCGCTCACAGTCCCTCATCTTGGTCTTGAGCAGGTCCTGCTTGGTGACTGAGAAGAGCAGCCCCTTGGGATCAAGTGGCCCAATGATGTCATACCACACGGGGCAGCCATCACGGTCATAGCCACACAGGCCCCCAGGCATGTACTTCTGGATCACCTGGGCATGAAAAGATGCACAGAACTTGGCATTACACACCTCCCTTGAGACCCACAAACCAGGCTGACCTGGGTGGCCCAAGCCTACACACACCATGGTATAAAGCACTGTCCCTCCCTGGAAAGTAGAGCTATTGTCTCAGGTGGGAAAGCTGAGGTCCTGCAGGGCAGGGCCTTGCCCACAGAGGGTAAATGGCAAAGCCAGGTCTCAGCAGGCCCCAGGGCTTCTAAGGTCTGCCCCGATGTCTCCCATGTCCCTTTCTGTGGAGAAGAGTAGGGTTTAGTGATGGAGAACACAGATTCTGAAGGTTAACAGAGCTGGCTGAAAAACAGACACTGGCTGGGCATGGAGGCTCATTCCTGTAATCCCAGCTACTCAGGAGGTTGAGGCAGATGGGATCTCCTGAGGCCAGGAGTTTGAGACCAGCTTGGGCAACAGAGGGAGACCCTGTCTCTACAAAAATAAAATACATTAGCCAGCCACGGTAATACACATCTGTAGACTTGGGAAGCTGAGGTAGGAGAATCACTTGAGCCCAGGAGTTCAAGGTTGCCGTGAGCCATGATCGTGCCACTGCACACCAGCCTTGGCAACAGACTGAGACTCCATCCATAAAAGAAAAAAAAAAAAAAAAAAAGCAGATACTGCTGCTTCTCTACTGCGTGTCCTTGAGCAAGTGACACCACCTCTCTGAGCTCCATTCTACCTCCTCTTTTGTAAAATGGTTTGGATAATCCCTCACTCTTGGGACTGCTGGGGAAGGTCCCTGAGATAATATAGGCAAAGCAGACTGCGCAGCTCAGGGTACATGCCCTACAAGTGAAGATGCGATCATTACTCTACTAAGATGCCAGTGGTGGCACCATTCTCATCAGTGCCTTGATGAGCTAAACTTCTTTCCCACCCAGACAGGATGCTTTAGGCAATGCCCTAGGGGGTGGGGGTGCAGAAGCACAGGCTAACCATGGTGGTTAAGAGCCTGGGTTCGGGGGCCCAAACAGGCCTGAGCATAAATCGCAGCCCTGTGTTGGGCTATGGGACTGTGGGCAAGTTACCTAATTTTTTGCTGGGCTTGTGTCCTCATCCACAAAATGGGGACAATAGTATCCATCATTGTGATGATTAAAGAAGCTCATGCTGCTAACGTCTTAACCTAGGCCTGGACCTCGCAAGCCCCCAGGAAACATTCATTATTACTATAGGAAAGGAGACTGTGGGCCTGCGGGTTCCACATGCCTCTCAGCCTTGCTGCCCCTCATTCATGGTCCCCAGTGACCTTAAGCGGTATGTCCATGAAAGACTGAGGTGTTTGGCGGTGTTGGCTCACCTCTGGGGGCTGCCAATCAAGGATATGATCAATATCCATGGTCTTCCGGAACTCCATGTACTGAAAGGGAAATGAGTGGTAAGACCCCATTGGGCTCCCAGCGCCCTGAGAGCGGGGATGGAAGGAGGGGCTTGAGACATGGATTGCCCCCGACAAAACCCCTCCATAAATTTCCAGAGTGGATAAGTCTCACCTTGCGGAGCATAGCCTCTGACTTCTGCAAGTCAAAATTCCGAGCTGTGGGAAAACAGAAGGAAGGTGTGAGGCAGGAAACACGCCTTTGTCTTGCTCCTGGCCAGTGGGAGCTATGGAGGATGCTGGGGGCTGGGGTAAGACCTCGCTCCCCTACCCCCTTCCCTCCTCTGGACCTGAATATGAGAAGCAAGATTGTGTGGATGGACCCTGAGAGCCATGAGACACTCTGGATCAGTTGAGACCAGGCCCCTCTTGATGCTCCCTGATCCCAACCTCTCCCATCTCTGCCCTCACCTCGGAGCCAGCGTAGAAGGAAATAATCATCAGGGTTTGGCAGGGCGGGAAGCACATCCTGGACATTTTCTCGAAACTGGCAAGAGAGATGCTAGTTAAAGTGGCTCTCTCACATTAAGCCTTGGCCTCCAGACTCAAAGACTGTTTTCATAACCTCTCCTTTCCTCCCACATGCAAAATGGCCCACATTGATAAAAGGATGGGTTAATGGTTGAATAGAAGGAGAGATGGATCACTGGATAGGTGGATGAATGGGAGGATAGATGGATTAATAAATGGTTACAAAGAAGAACAGATGGGTGAGTGGGTAGGTAGATGAAAAGAGGAAGAAGAAATGAATGGATGGATGGATGGATGAGTGGGTGGGTGGATAAGTCAGTGGATGGACAGAGGAGAGATGGGTGGGTGATAGAGAGAAGGAAAGATGGATAGGTGGATGGGTGGGTAGGAAGATGGGTGTGTGAATGAAAGAAAGGATAAACAGGCCAGGTATGGTGGCTCATGCCTGTAATTCCAGTGCTTTGGGAGGCTGAGGTTGGTGGATCACCTGAGGTCAGGAGTTTGAGACCAGCCTGGCCAACATGGTGAAAACCCATCTCTACTAAAAATAAAAAAATTAGCTGGGTGTGGTGGCGCACGTCTGTAATCCCAGCTACTCAGGAGGCCGAGGCAGGAGAATTGCTTGAACCTGGGAGATGGAGGCTGCAGTGAGCTGAGATCGCTCCACAGCCCTCCAGCCTAGATGACAGAGCAAGACTCTATTTCAAAAAAAAAAAAAAAAAAAAAAAAAAGAAGAAGAAGAAGAAAGGATAAATAATTGGGTGGGTGAATACGTAGATTGGAGTTTGGATGCATTCTTAGTTCCCTCCATGTGTTAGCTCTCAAAATATCTGATTTTTTTCATCCCATCTTCTATTAAAACATGGTTAGTAATTATATATCCTCTTCCTTCTTTAGCTCTTTGAATGACAACAGCTTCTGCTCTGTCTCTCGGGCTTTTACAGTTTGGTCATCTTTCAGGATCCCAAGGAGAAAGGGGTTAAAGGGCAGACCAGCAGCATCTTTCAACTCCTACCTATGGTGCCTAGGAGAGAGGAAGGGGGGTGCCTGGCTGCCAGGTAAACCTCTCTGGTTCTGGCTCCTGGATGAGAAGAAGTCAGGCTCAATCTTGGGTGGGCACCACCCACGCTATTGCCTGGAAGTGGTGCTAGTCCCTCAACCCCCACCCTGGACAGGGTTGATGTCACTGGGCACTGTGGGGCTTGACCCTTTGGGAGGTAACACCAAAGAGACAATGTCAAGGACATGCTGAATCAACTGAGTGGGGCAGGGTTCCAGCCACTCCTTTCCACCCCCAGCCCCTTTCCCCTGGTCTTCCGGAACTCCAGGGGGAGGGGCTCTCACCTTGGCCAGGGTCTCTGCCTGTTTGGGGCTCAGGTCTCCGACTCGGCCACTCATGGTGCTGGCTGAGGCTTGAGGAGTGGTGGCCACTATAGGCAAGAGGCCAAGCCTAGTTTGTCAGCCCTGACCCAGCTGGGTCCTTTTGCCCCCACTCCTGGGCGTGGCCCCAAGTGCCTCCTCATTGGCCAACTGTTTAAATTGCACGTTACATAATTGGGATTAAGTGAGGTCCCGTGCTTGGCTTGGGGACAGATCTGGGGGGGCAGGCGGGCATGGAGCATGTGCCAAATGTCCCCTGCCAGGAGGAGGCAGCTGGGAGGAAGGGAGGCTGGCCTCCCGTGACCTTGGAGCCCAGGGTGAGTGCCTGTAGAACCCGCTGACCCTCCCAGGCCTCCAGTGACCACTGCCCTGGAGAAGGGGGAGTTTCAGGGAAATGAGGACCACGCCTTGTGGGTACCCTTTCCCCCTGAGACCCAGTCTTCACACACTTAGGATTCTGCAGAGATCACCCCCCTCTACCCAGCTCTGACAGGGTAGGATTCTGAGGCTTGGCCGGTGTAGTAAACAGTTCATTCACTTTGTTGGGGGTGGGAGGCCCAGGTCCTTCTTTCATAACAAATGTCCACAGTCAAGAGGACAGATGGCATCTTTTGAATGTCACTTGCTTCATTTATAAAACGGGGCTGTTAATGCTTGCCCTGCCCTCCTTCTGTGGTTGGAGGGAAGATCTAATGAGACACAGGGACTGTCAAGGGTTGTGTGCATCTAAAGGATACTCCCCGTCAGCTCTCCTGGTACCCCCGGGAGCTGTGAGCTTCATCTCCAGGAAGCGAGAGACCCTGTTATCCATGACTCCCTCTGAAGAAACCATCAGCTTGAGACTGCAGCGTGGCCATGTGGCTGCATGGCCACATCTCGGCCTTGAACAGGTCTGCATGGGTTGAAACCACCCTGGGCTAGCCTCGGCCCCAGCAGCTGGGCTAGCCCACACCATTCTGCCTAGGACTTTTCTAGGTCCCCTACTCCTGGGGCATCCTGGGTACCTACCCTTGAGCTACAATGGGCCTCTATTCTGGGCTAACCCAGGGTCTCTTTAGGCTAGTAGATGTTGGTCAGTATCAGACACCTTCTCAGGGACATCTTCCTTGCTCTGGGGTGCTGATAGAGTTGGATCCGGAAGGAGAAGGCAGGGCTGACGCTGGCCATTTCTGTCTGCCTGGGGAGCCCATGGCATGCACTCAGGAACAGTTAGGTAACTGTCCACACCCCAGCCCTACCCCATTTCACATTCCAGCCTCAATTTCTGCAAAGCCCCAGCTGTCTACACCCACTTCCTGCCAGGCCAGTAATATACAGAGATTGGGTTCCTCCACTGCCCTCTCCCGAGCCACTAATCCTGCCCATTTCTCACCAGTCTCCTTTCTCACCCTAATCCCTATAAGGTGAGGTGTGCTAGTTACTTCTGGGGGCATCAGAGACTGCAAAGGAGAGCCAGGAGGGAGGGTTGGGGGTCTTCTCAGGAGTTGTAAGCCTTCACACTGAGCTCTTTTCCCGACCCAGACCACAAATTTGTTAAGCACCTTGCTATGTTCACAAATCCTCATCAGCCACAGTGCCACTCCATAGAACTTTCTGTGATGGTAGACATTTTCTGTGTGGGGTGTCCTGTTAGACATATCTGGTAGCCACCGGTTACATGTGAAATATGGTTAGCATGACTGAGGAACTGAAGTTTTAATTGAACTGGATTTTAATACATTTTACTTTAAGTTGTTTAATCTGGCTAGTGGTTACCATATTGGATGGTACAGGTGGACCATATTTATTTTATTTTGTTTTATTTTATTTTTGAGACAGGGTCTCACTCTGTTGCCCAGGCTGGCGTGCAGTGGCATGATCTTGGCTCACTACAACCTCGACCTCCCCAGGCTCAATCAGTCCTCCCACTTCAGCCCCCCGAGTAGCCTGGACTGTAGGCAATTTCCACCATGCCCTGCTAATTTCTTGTATTTTTTGTAGAGATGGGTCTCATTACAGGCATTACCTCATTTTGGCCTGGTGCAGTGGCTCACACGTGTAAACCCAGCACTTTGGGAGGCCGAGGCAGGTGGATCACCTGAGGTCAGGAGTTCCAGACCAGCCTAGCCAACATGGCAAAACCCTGTGTACTAAAAATACAAAAATTAGCTGGGCGTGATGGCGGGTACCTGTAATCCCAGTTACTCAGGAGGCTGAGGCAGGAGAATGGCTTGAACCTGGGAGGCGGAGGTTGCAGTGAGCCGAGATCGTGCTACTGCACTCCAGCCTGGGGTACAGAGTGAGACTCCATCTCAAACAAGAAAAAAGCAGCGCATTACCTCATTTACATCTCAGAACATACCTGTGGTATCAGGTAGGTACTATTAAGCCCATTATACAGATAAGCAAACTGAGGTATAGAGAAGTAAAGTAACTTATCCAGGGGTAAACCCATGCAATTAACCACTCTGCTGTTGTGCTGTGAAGCTATCCCATAGTCTCGGCTCTAGGAGCTTCCACCTTACTTAGGGAGAGAGCCCAAGGATAAAAGTCACCTATATGTGATGCAGCTGGTATCTGAGCCAGGCCTTGAAGAAAGGAAGGATTTTGATTTACGGAGAGCAAAATAAAGGGCATCCCAAGTGGAGGGGATGGCACAGGCAAAGGCGTGGAGGTGGGAAACTGAGACGTATGTGGAGGGGTGGTGGGGAGATTACAGCAAACAAGACAGATGAGGACCCAGCTTGCACAGAGCTCATAGTCTCCCATTGGTGGGCATTCCCTCTGTGCTGGGAGCTTTATATCACTATCCAATCATTCGGAAGCAGGTATGGGTATTCTCATTTTACAGCCAAATAAAGTTCAGAGAGGTCAAGAAACTTTTCTGAGGTCACACAGCCAGTAAATGAGGAGCCAGAACTTGAACCCAAACTTATCTGACTCTGGATTACACAGCCCACCCTGCTTTCCCCTGGAGGGCTTAATATTGTGCCCAGAATATAGTAAGTGCTCAATTAATGGTCTATATTGTCATTGTGTGGAAGCCTGGATCTGCCTGGATTCAACCTGGATTCGGGCTGCAGGGTGTCTTGGGGCCAGAAGGGTTAATTTTGCCTGCTTTGAAACAAACATCTTGGGGAAGGAGAGCCCCCCAGCCTGCCCCCCAAACCCCAGAGCACACTGTCTCCAGGTAAGGTCCCATGTGTGTTTGGCTTCTCATTTACAAAGCTCTCAGGGGACCATGGCAACAACCACAACGTAAACAACCGCAGGTGGGTAGATAGAGTTGCTTGCACCCCTAACCGTGGCACCTCTCCTTCCAGCCAGTTACTAGGAAATCTGAAAGAGCTGCCTCTTCCAGTCCATCCCCGGCACATTCCTGATCACCTCCCCCGCTAGGATGGACCTTGCCAGAAGCAGTTGGGTAGGTCTAAAGGGGCCCCTTCTGGGGGTACAGGAGCCTCAACATAGGGCAGGCATCACTGGAAGGAGGTGAGTGGGGGGCATTTAGACCACACAGATGTGAAGTGGGTGGCCTAAAAAGGGGAGATGAAGGCCAGGTGCCGAGGCTCACACCTATAATCCCAGTGCTTTGGGAGGCTGATGTGGGAGGATTGCTGGAGGCCAGGAGTTTGAGATCAGCCTGGCAACATGGGGAGACCCTGTCTCTTCAAAAAATTTAAAAATTAGCTGGGCATGATGGTGTACACCTGTAGTCCCAGTTACTTGGGAGGCTGAGGCAGGAGGATCCCTCAGGCCCAGGAGTTTGAGGTTGCAATGAGCCTTCATAGGGCCACTGCACTCCAGCCTACGCAACAGAGTGAAACCTTATCCTTTAAAAAAAATAAAAGGGTTATGGGGAGATGGAAAGGGATTGGGGTGCAAATCTCCAGACCCCAGTGATGCTCTCAGCAGCCACAGTCCACTTTCTATCTTTTACCCTTGGGCAGTTTCATCTCCTTTAATAAATTTTAAAAAAAGTAAGCATGATATAATTCATATATCACAAATTCATTCTTTTTAAAAATAGAAGGTATCAAGTTTTATTATCATTTTATTTAAAAAAAATCAGTAACAAACAAGACTGTGAGAGACAGCTGCAGAGAGGTGCTCACCTCAACACCGCCTGAGGAATAGGTCACCCGGGGTAGAAGAAGACCCTGGGTGCAGCAAGGGAGGGTCATTCCTGTCACCCCAGCCAGTGGGGTCAGGAGGAGGCACCGCCCACCCAGGCTGAGCCAGGCTCAGGTAATAGTAGCCTAAAACAATAGCCAAGGAAGTTAGAGTCAGATGTCTGGTTCCTCTATAGAAACTAAAGACAACATCTTAGCATATATTTTCAAGGCATTTTTCAGAAACCTGGACCCCTCCACAAAAGGATCCACTAAAGACTGAACTCTTTGTTGTAAATTTCTATTTACAAGACACCTGTAGCCCGAATCCAGGTTGAATCCAGGCAGATCCAGGCTTCCACACAATGACAATGTAGACCATTAATTGAGCACTTACTATATTCTGGGCACAATATAGTGAGGGGCTTAGAGGGAGTCACAGCCACCAGCCCACGTAACCGGGACCACCAGCCCAACAGGCCTCTCCTCTCTGGAGAAGCAGGGTCCCAGATAACAGGGCCCAGCTGGAACCTCATCAGCCCTTCCCCGTCTCCCCTCCCCTTGCCCAGGGAGACAAGGGTCATCCCAGCACAGCTGAGGCTGTGACTTGAGAAGCCAGTTGCATTCTCTAGAACGGTGCTGTGCAACAGATGGAAATGCGCCCTCTGTGTGGTCAGCACGGTAGCCACGAGCCACATATGGTGACCGAGTGAGCCCTTGAAGTGTGGTTAGTGCAACTGAGTTTGATGGAGCGGGGGTCCCTCTTCGGGGCCTGCTGGGCTCCCCACAAGCATGGAAATAAAGGAAAACCTTGAGTTCCTTCCGGGGAAATTCCAAGCCCCTACCTAGCCCTCAGAAATAAATAAGCAACTTGATAACCAAGAAGGTAATAGTAGCCTAAAACAATAGCCAAGGAAGTCAGAGTCAGATGTTTGGTTCCTCCATAGAAACTAAAGACAACATCTTAGCATGTTTCTGAGTTGTTTTTCAGAAACCTGGACCCCTCCGCAAAAGGATCGGGTGAAGACTGAACTCTTTGTTGTAAATTTCTTCCTGAAGGGTTTAGAGGGAGTCACAGCCACCAGCCCAAGCTAACATTCTTTTCTGTTGACCCCAAATTTTTAAACAAACCTTCTTTACTTTAACCAATTGCAAATCAGAAAACGTTGACTCTACCTATGACCTGTAACGCTCAGCTGCAAGATACCCGACTGTTTTAGGCCAAGACCCATGTGTAACCTCCACACAATGATTTTGTCTATAACTTCGGTTTTCCTGAAATTTACCCCTGCCTTTAAAAACCCTTACCTGCAAACCATCAGGGAGGTCAGGGTTTAAGCCTTAGCTGCCTGGTCCTCTTTGCTAGGTGCCCTGCAAATAAACACTTTCCTTTCTATTGCTACAAAAATATCAGAATTTATATCTGGACTTACTGTGCCAGGCGAGCAGACGCCGGTTCAGTTCTAGCACAGGAGGAATGAATTAACTTCATGTGATTTTAGTTGACTTAAATTTAAACAGCCACACGTGGTTACTGTGTTGGATAGCACAAGCCTAGAGCTTAGAGAAAACAAACCAAAGAACGCCAGCTGAGTCCCAGGCACAAGGCAGAAAGAGGGTAGAATGGGTTACTTCAGCTATTCCAGCCCAGTGAAAAGGCACCAGGGGCCAGGTGCGGTGGCTCATGCTTGTAATCTCAGCACTTTGAGAGGCCAAGGCAGATGGATCATTTGAGGTCAGGAGTTCAAGACCAGCCTGGCCAACATGGTGAGCCCGCCCCCTCCCCCCAAATCTCTACAAAAAGTGCAAAAATTCACCGGGCGTGGTGGTGGGTGCCTGTAATCCCAGCTACTCAGGAGGCCGAGGCATGAGAATCGCTTGAACATAGGAGGTGAGCTGAGATTACACCATCGCACTCTAGCCTGGGTGACAGAGGGAGACACTGTCTCAATAAAAAAAAAAAAAAAAAGGCACCAGGAATGGGGCAAGAGAAGAGGCCAAAATGCACCCAGCCACACAAAAATTCACTCACTCAGCCAAGTGCAGTGGTTGATGCCTGTAATCCTGTAATCCCAGCACTTTGGGAGGCTGAGGCAGGTGGATCACCTGAAATCGGGAGTTCAAGACCATCCTGGCCAACATAGTGAAATGGTAAAACCCCGTCTCTACTAAAAATACAAAAATTAGCTGGGTGTGGTGGCATGCGCCTGTAGTCCCAGCTGCTCAGGAAGCTGAGGCAGGCGAGTCACTTGAACCTGGGAGGCAGAGGTTGCAGTGAGCATCACACCACTGCACTTCAGCCTGGACGACGGAGGGAGATTCTGTCTCAAAAAAAAAAAAAAAAAAAAAGGCCGGGCGTGGTGGCTCATGCCTGTAACCCCAGCACTTTGGGAGGCCAAGGTGGGTGGATCACTTGAGGCCAGGAGTTTGAGACCAGCCTGGCCAACATGGTGAAACCCCATCTCTACTAAAAATATTAAAAAATTAGCCAGGTATGGTGGTGAGCACCTGTAATCTCAGCTACTTGGGAGGCTGAGGCAAGAGAATTGCTTGAACCCAGGAGGCAGAGGTTGCAGTGAGCTGAGATCATGCCATTGTACTCCAGCCTGGGCAACGGAGTGAGACTCTGTCTCAAAAAAAAAAAAAAAAAACAAACAAACAAAAAATTTGCTCACTCAAGCACCTACTCAACATCAAACTGGAAATAGCACTCTATTTCCTGAAAAAAAATTTACCTATTTTTCTAGAAGCAAGGAATAATAATATGTTATAAGAACACAGACACAAATATCCCACTGTTCTCTTCATTATATTTTGGGATCTGCTGAAAAAAAGTATGTTTCAGCAAAAGCTACTTCTTAGAGGAAGCAGATTCAGAACAGACCAAAGTCATGAGCAGGGGAGTGTGAAGAATTAAAAAAAAAAGAAAAAAAAAAAGAATGGAAGCTAAGCTATGAAGATGCAAAGGCATAAGAATGATAGGATGTACTTTGGATGCTCACGCCTGTAATCCCAGCACTTTGGGAGGCCAAGGCGGGCAGATCACGAAGTCAGGAGATCGAGATCATCCTGGCTAACACGGTGAAACCCCGTCTCTACTAAAAATACAAAAAATTAGCCGGGCGTGGTTGCAGGCGCCTATAGTCCCAGCCACTCGGGAGGCTGAGGCAGGAGAATGGCGTGAACCCGTCTCTACTAAAACTACAAAAATTAGCTGGGTGTGGTGGTGCATGGTGTCACCATGTTGCCCAAGATGATCTCAAACTCCTGAGCTCAAGCAATCTGCCTACCTTGGCCTCCCAAAGTGCTAGGATTACAGGCATGAGCCACCGTACCTGGCCTTGATACGGATGCTTTATTGCTTAGTTTCATCTCCCTTCTTCTCTCAGAAGTTAAAATTAAATATGATCATGATGACGATGTTGATGATACTGCTGCTGCTGCTGTCTGTACTACACAATACTAATAGCCACCAAGAAGTCAAGACTCTCTGGAGAAGCCTCCAGAGACCTCTGAGTTGGGAACACAGCTCCTGGTCAAGTTCATAGGTGCTTCCCTTTCCTCTTTCATACAACACTCTTGCTATTTATTTTAGGAATAGGTTGCTATGGTTACAGGAACAGAGGGAGGATAGTGAATGATTCTATAAAGTGAAAGAGGCCTTAATTTGTATGTTGTCTAGGGTAGGAGCTGGCACATCTCGTCCCACAATGCCTGGGGTCACCCAAAGGGCATCAGGTGTCCCAAATTCTTCATGCCAAACTGATCTCTGTTTTCACTGGCATTTGTGGCAAGCCTGTAGTGCCTAAGGCTACTGGGGAGAGGAACTGGGTCTGAGGGTGATCAACAACAAAAGAGCCCAAGCAATTGTCATTCGTCTCCCAACCCTGGGCAAATAATCTGCAAATAGTTCAGAAACGGATGCCGCTGAAACATGGGCCTGGCTATCTGGGTTTGAATCTTAACTTCACCTCTAATGTGTTATGTGATCTTGAGTCTCACAAGGAAACTGAGGCTGGTAACATCCCCTTCTTACAGGGTACTGAGATGGCCAGTGTAAAAGAGACCAATAAGGTACCTTACCTACTTAGCACATGCTAAGTGATCAATAGCATAGGCTTTTACTGCTATTACGAGGCTAGTCACCCAGCCTGCTTTTAGCTCCACGACTAGGACACAGCTAGGTGAGCCCATCCTTTCCTGTTCCTTCTCCCCTCTTCTGTGGCTACCCTGCCCTACCCTTTTCTTGGGTCTCTCTGCAGTGCTGGGTCATGCTGCCAGACTCTACCCTTTGGCAGTGCTCTTGGTATGACCCAACCTGGGTATGGATGGTCCAGGGAAGCACATGGAGTCTCTGGAGTCAGACATCCTGAGTTCCAATCCTGGTACCACCACTGAGCAAATGACTCTGTTTCTGAGCCTCACTTTCCTCTCCTGTAAACAAGAATAACTATGTTTATTTTATTATTTTATTTTATTTTATTTTGAGACAGAGTCTCACTCTGTCACCAGGCTGGAGTGCAGTGGCGCGATCTTGGCTCACTGCAACCTCTGCCTCCCGGATTCAAGTGATTCTCCTGCCTCAGCCTCCCGAGTAGCTGGGACTACAGGCAGGCGCCACCACACCCAGCTAATATTTGTATTTTTAGTAGAGATGGGGTTTCACCATGTTGGCTAGGATGGTCTTGATCTCCTGACCTCGTGATCCTCCTGCCTCAGGCTCCCAAAATGCTGGGATTACAGGCGTGAGCCACCGTGCCCGGCTTAGCTATGTTTATTTTATAAGGCTGCCATGAAGATTAAACAAAGTAGCATAGACAGAGCAGCAAGCTTATGAAGGTGCTTAGTAAATGGTATCTGTTTTTTGTTTGTTTGTTTGTTTTGTTTTTAAAAACGTCTGGGAAGTGCAGCTGGGGCTCACTGCTGAGGGTGAGCAGGAGACAGACACAAGGCAGATGATGACTCTGTCGTGTGACCAGCACTGGACCAGTTGCTCTGTGAGTGTGGAGAAGAACTGATAGGGCCTGGGTGGCGGTGTAGCCTAGGGAAGGCCTTTCAAGACAGGGTTCCAGTGCCCTCGAGCGTGCATTTAACAAGGTTGGAGAGGAAGTCCTAGGCTGAAGACACGGCATGAGCAAAGGCAGGGAGGCAGGAAAGAGCTTGATGAATTGGTGAATTCAAGTCATAGCATGTGTCTGGAACTGGGGTGCAGCGGCCAGGTTGCAGAGGGCCTTGCAAGCCACCACTGACGCCGATTTTACCCAGGGGTACATGGTGCGCTAGAGAAGGGCTTCTGCAGAGAATGATGTGATCAGATTTGCATTTCAGAAAGATTTTATTCTGGCTGCCCTGTGCAATCTGGACAGGAGTGGGTAGGAATGGGCACAGAGAGGGTGCGGTGGCTCACGCCTGTAACCCCAGCACTCTGGGAGGCCAAAGTGGGAGGATTGCTTGAGTCCAGGAGTCAAGACCAGCCTGGCCTTCATAGCAAAACCCTATCTCTACGAAAAATAAAAAATTAGCCAAGCATGGTGGTGTACACCTGTAGTTCCTGCTACTCAGGAGGTGAGGTGGAAGGATCGCCCGAGCCTGGGAGGTTGAGGCTACCGTGATGATTGCACCACTGCACTCTAGCCTGGGCAACAGAGTGAGACCCAGTCTCAAAAAAAAAAAAAAAAAAAAAAAAAAAAGAGAGCCTGGAAGCGACAGACCCAGGATCTAAAACGAGGTCAGGCTGCCTTTTTTCATCACTCCAGGAGGCCCCAGCCTGGGCCTGGGGAACTTGGCTTCAACCGGCCTGGAAAGTGACCTTCCAGTGAGCCGATGCTAACTGGCCGCCCCAGTTTACGCTCCCAGTGGACAGAGATGCGGCTGGCCCAACACTGTCCCCTGGTGGTTAAAAGCAGAAGGCCCCTGAGCATCGCTCAGTTTGGGCCGGGCCCCCTCCCTGCCCGCACACAAGTGTGCTGTCTGGTAGATGGACACAGGTTCACGGCTTACCTCTCCCGCTTCATGTTGTGTGATGTGATAAGTCACTTCCTGCCCTGAGTCTCACTTTCCTCATCTGTAAGCTGGGGATGGTGCTTCCTGCCTCAGCTTGGGCCTGGCACACAGTAGGTATTTGGGCATGGAGCTGGCACCACATTTCCCACCGAGATGCACAAACGTCTGGGCAGCTTTCTCCCAATCCTGGGCCTTCCCTCCACCCCAGGAACCCAGCACCTCACTTTGTCCCACTGTGTGGCCCCCTGCCCCACACTGGCCTTCCCTGCAGGGGCCCACAAGCCATCAACCCTCATCTCCCCCGCTTCAGGGTGGGGACCCCAGCGGCAGCTGACTTGGGTACTGGTTCCAAGTCTTCCACTGGACACAGAGGCTTTGGCCAAGGCACTGCCCCCTGCTGAGCTTCGGTTTCCTGGCCTATAAAATGGGGCTATAATCTCTGTCTGCTTCAGGACTTAATGTGAAGGAGCTGTGCAAACTGTGGAGTGCTGTGCCATGAAGCTCTGGTGAAGACCTACTCTGAGCACTGCCTAGACTTTCTCACAGTGGTGTCCTCTCTGGCTTGGGCTCCTTGGGCGTTGAGGTGGGCTGGGGCAGGTGAGCCTTTCCAACAGCCATTGAAACACCCCCACTGGGGCCTGGTGTGGTGGCTCATGCCTATAATTCCAACACTTTGGGAGGCCAAGGTGGGAG